TCTGTATTTGATTTCTGAGCACCACTATTGGCCATTATTTAACCTTTCTTTTGTGAATTGTCAGACAGTACAAAATAGCTGAAACTAACTTGACCTCGTTCTTGAAAGTGCATGTCAGTATTGATATAGCATTTAAAAAAATATTGCATCTTGTACAACTTGGACAGTATAAACGGATGAGAAGTGAAAAGGGGTTTTCTTTTGGTTTGGGGCACTGAGCAGCACGGTGCAGAGGGCAAAGCTGAGGTTAAGTTTTTAAACACACACAAAGGCCCAAGTGAATGTCTTCAACATTAGACATGACAGTTCTGCTCTCTGGAATACATCAGCCATAATAAGCCTTTTTCTGTTGTTCCTACTGCCATAGTTATACACACGCACAGATCTCACATGCACACACTGCTTCCACAGTAAGTCATTACCTACCATCACATCTTTCATAGGCGTACTGTCTTCATCAGAGGCAAAAATATGGTGTATAAGGTTACTGGAGGCAGTCATGGGGGATGGCTTTAAAGCAATAAGATAGCAGTAATGGCACACCATCATTTAGGAAAATGTAATAAGTGAATATCTAATAAGCCTGTAAAAGATGCTTAACCCCTGAAACTCTGAGGTCAGGTAGGCCTACAGAGATAGGAGAATAAGCCGATTAAGGAAGGTTTCCTCTCACATTGCGGTCATCACAGGATTGACCAGTTCTTGACCTTGCTGTTAGGAGTGTGCTCACCTTAGTATAGAACCACTCTTAGATAAATCCGCTCTTCATGGTATTTGATAACAGCTTGTGTAAGAAAGTAATAGGTTATGAATCTCTTTCTGGAGATAAAGTAGGAGTTAATGGTACACCAGAGATTTACGGTTTTACGCGTTGCTCACCTTTGGTCGACATTTGTCACAGCGGTTTCTTGAAGGCTGTGAGTTGAGCCTGTGGCTAAAGTTGTAATATTTGTAAAGGTCTTAGCGAGTGAGTTAAGGCTGCGGTTTCGACACAGAAATGCTATTCCTGAATTCACTAAATGGTGCATGACACTCCTTGTATTGACCTGATGATTGATTTGGTGATTGATTGACAAGAAGATACGTTGTTTCAAATCCCAGGAGAACTTAAATAAACAGAAGCATTTGGTTGTAAATGTGACGTCCACATGCTTCTTCTGTGTCGATGGAGACTGGTTAAATGTGCTATGCTCAAAATGAATGACATCCAGAATTTAAGGTCAGTATCTCTCTACGCATGCACACACGGAGCAACATCCTAAAGCCATTTTCAGGCAGGGCAGCAGAGTGTGTCCTCATTACTGTCTGTGACTGTGTAGTCACCACTCAGTCACAGCTCACACTGCCAGAATGGGATTTTCCCCTCTTTTCTCCTCTGACTCCTCAACCTCTTTTTCACCTTAACTTCTCTTGCATATCGCTTCATCTATTTCTTAGACAGAAAATCATTATCAGTCAGGAAAGACAATTTCCTGCTCCTATGGTCTCTTATACCCTGCCAGTCAAAAGTTTTAGAAAACTGTATGTATTTTTTTTTTGATACATGTCAATTCATCGAATTACCAGTTAGCAGAAACGAGCCTAAAAAGTGAATAAAACTTCTTTTGAGCAAGTGTATAATTTCGGTTAAATGATGCTGCACAGTGTATGTTGGTAGAAATAGGAACACAACAGCGTTTTGCATATTTGTCTTACAATTTTCAGTATAAAAGCTTCAAGTGTTTAACTTTGCCAGTTCAATGTGCTGATTACTTTTAAAGTCCCACTATTATATAAAAGATTGGATCATTCAAAACTCTCCACACATTCAAATCTGTTGCAATCAAATGATGTTTAGATTGGCAATTTGCTAAAAACAAGCAAAAAAAAATTTGTAATAGATGAGTGGCTAATGCATAACTAATACACACTGATGTAGCAGTCAGCCGTTTGAGAAGTGAAGGTTTTTACATGTTAAGTGTTTTATCAGCAGTGTATACATTGATTTTCTGCATCTGTCTGAAAAGTTCTACTATTGTGTGCTTAAATCTTCAGGATTTTATGTTAGATATTTGACATAAACACAATTACATTTCTAGTCTGTCACACATAAAAACATATCTTTTTGTGTTACTTGGCTACTGTCTTACAAAACAAATTCTCCAAGCTCTATTTAGACTCTTTATCTCTGACAATGTGAACAAACCTCTTCATTTGTAGTTAAAAGGTTTCGCTCAAAGCTTTTAGTCATTTCAAAAGTGGTCACGTTTCCATTTGCCATCGGGAGTAGCTGAAATTTATAGTCTTCTGATAGAGAGTCAAAGGAAGAGGAAGAGAAGCACGGCACACACATCCATATTAGACTGCAATGGCAACCAGCTGAACTTGTTGATAGAGTACTAAACAAGTCTAAGTAGCCTAACACTTGGCTCGTTCTGACAAAGGCATTATCTGACTCTCCAGTTTACCAACTTCACAGCTTAACAAAATGATGTTTAGTCCCATTTGCTCTTCTGTTTCTCCCCGCAGCTATTTCTGACTGCTATATGTTTTCTTTAAAAAGTCTGGAGCCTGTTAAAAAACATTTTAATTCAGTTTAAGCAGGTAGTGTGCCGCTACGTGATTGCAACACATTATTTGTGTAATGCACTGACAATTAGAGACGACTGATATATCGGACGGTATTAACTATTTCCCAGGATATCGGTATCACCATTTATAATGTCCAATAAATGAAAACTGAAGAAGTGAAGAAGAGTTGAGAGAAACACCCTTCAACTTTCTTATGAATGTTGATGTTGCATAGTTTGTTTACTAGAAGGCACTCTGCATCGACACACTCAACAATCAGCTGATCCGGGCAAAGTGGGATCAGCTGACTAAAGCAAGATTATTTTAAAACTGAATTGTTGTAATAATGTAGTAAGGATTCACAAATAACTACTCACAGCAAATCCTTGAGAAATCTGTTTAAGTTTGTGTGTCTGGAAAAAAAAAACATTGACTGATATATTGGATTTTAAACCTCCAAATATCAGTACTGGTATCTGATTAATATTTCTGTGTGTGTCCAGTTCTGCAGACATTGTAGTCACTTGCACAACTTATATATTCACAGTGGTATGCATCTGTCTGCTTCTATCTTTCCACCTTTTTAAGTTGCGAGAATTAAAGTTGAAGGGGAAGAAGCAGAAATGTGTGTTGGCAAAGTTCTCTTTGATTTGTTGAGCTTTGGAGCTCTCCTCTTTTATTTAATCTGCCTTTTCCTCAGAAATCTCCTCGGACTCTGCAAGGGAGTTTAAACAGCACCGATATGTGTGTCTCAACATAAGATGAAAGATCCAAGCCCAGGTAATCAAATTTAGGATTGTGTAATCGAACAGGACAAGGGGCATTCCTTCACTCGACGTCTTTCCGATCTTTCACACGCTCAGGCGAACTCACGAAAACACCAGCGTCTTCATTTTTAGCATACTTTACCAGGGTGCCGTTAGTCAATAAATGACATGCTAGCTTCATGTTCTTTTCACCCATCTGGTCTACTGACTCTTCTTCCCCACGGTGCGTTTTATATGAAACACACTGTAGCTTCAAAGCGGGGTTACTGCCTGTTTAGCCATAATTTGCTATTATGCATGGCATCCAAGAGCATGCTAGAGCCCAAACAGGAACCACATGTGGTGTACTTTAAGCACCCAAAGCTATATATTACATATGTTACATGCTGTACACAAGTTCGTCCCTGGGAGCATGTGCTTACGTGCAGAGAAGCCTGTGCAATACACTGGCTGTAACAGGAGAAAAGAGGTTTAAAAGTGTGGAGAAAAAAGCATAAGATTATTCATTTCCTGTCTCCAGTGGAAAAAAAAGCTTCTGTACCACAAACACACAGTGAAATACATGCACGCGCAAGTGCTTCGTGTATGTTTTCTTTTGTTTTTAACTCTGGTCATAGAAGTGAAAAAGTCGGGAGGAACCGATTCAAAGTGAAAGTTCATACGGGTTAATTTTTCCTTGTTCAAGGAAGCTTGTTTATAAAAAAGTTTGACGTAAAATGGATTTCTGCAAATGAGAAAACAACATCAGGGCTAAGTAACTATCTGAAGGTGCTGTCAAAGGCTCTCTTTGTCTTTACCCTCTTCCTTTCATCTTTCTCTCATCCCTCACTCCTCTTCCCACCTTCCCACTCTCATTAGTGATGGTTGTGAGAGTGGAGAACAAAGCCCAGGCCTGCCAATCGATCACCGAGGAGCACTATCAATCGACTCGTGGCGCACAGGTCTCCTCCATCTACCCAACAATTGACGGGTCAAAGATTGATGAGGAAGATTGTTGTGTGTCTGTCTGTGTTTGTGTGTTAATGCAGCAAAGTATGCCTTTATTGGAGCTACACGTAGATTACAGCGAATGTAATGTCATCGTGTTTGACAGCTGTGCATTGCAATTTGTCAACATAGGAAGACAATATCAAAAGAACAACACTTGTGAGATACGCTACGAGTGTGTGAATGTGTATTTACGTATATGCAGCAAGCGGTGTATGCACAAATGCTCTGTGGTATAACAAAGCCCAGAGAAACTGTGAGATATTTGTTTTTGGTGGTTACTCTTTACCTTGGCATTTTGTTTCTGCCCTGGCAGCAGTAAACATGCACACAAGCAAAATTAAATCGTACACTGGCATGGAGTCACACTTTACTCTGGCACGGTGTCGTTCCCTTTCTGTGCCGTGAGTCATGCCGGTGCTGTAATGGATGAATCCTGCCGAAGTCTGACCAAGCATGGGTGTATGCGAGGATTTGTGGGCATGCGTGTATATTGTCAAGGTGTTGTGTAAACACTAGAATTATGTGTCACAGCTGGCCATATGACGTGCCCTGGTTTCATTTCAAATTCTGTCTCTGTGGGAAGACGCTGCTGTCACATTTGCATGAAAAAGGTTGTCAGACTAACACGTTTTCTTGTTTCTCTCCCTCCTCCTTCCCCACCTCCCCTTCTCTGCTCCCCTTCTCTGTCAACAGCTCTGATAGCTATAGGGCAGTACAGCAGCACCATTGAGACTGTTGATGCCGGCTGGTGTAAAGACATCACGGACCAGGGTGCCACACAGATTGCTCAGAGCAGCAAGTCCCTTCGCTACTTGGGCCTCATGAGATGCGACAAGGTAACGAACATTACTCATATCGTTGTCTTTCTTAGAGCCCGTACGCACAAGCCTAAAGGCTGGTCGGGAGGCATCTGGCAACCAACTCGCTGACTACGCTGATCTTGCTTTATAGTTCAGGCCCTTGCTCTCACAAACACAAAACTGGAACTTAAAATGAACATGTTCAGTTTATAGCTCAGTTTGATATCATTAGTTGCACCATTACTTTCTTAAAAACAACAATGTCTTCCAGAAATAACTATTTACTGTCAATATTGCATGTTATAAATACATAATAGAGTTGTAATAATTTCAATTCTGGGATCAAAAACAGTTTGAATCCAAATATTACCGTAAAGCAGTCCTGATCAGTGATCATTATATACCAATATTTTAGGGGTTTGTTAAACTTGTGGTATATGAAGTCTTTTGCCATCTTAAGATTGTCGAATATGAATGCGCATAAACAACCACAGAGATGTAGTCAGACACATAGATATGAATACGCAAAAGCTCCATGTTAGGGCCAATTTAAAAGCGTCTGAATGTGGGACGTCGAGTATCTAACTGCAGCCCGTGCCCAGTTTGTCTGTGTGATACATGAGTCACACGGTTGGGTGATAACAGAAGTAAAATGACATGATGACCTGTCTCAAACCTGCTCTGAGATGCCTCTGGGTGTGAGGAGGGACAGTCTTTTCAAAGTCACCCTTACACTTACATCTGGCCTCTTACTTATCCAACCCATAACCTGATGGAAGTACATGTAGTTTTACTGCCATGGTAACAACTCCACCCACGTCGCCAATTGGTTTTGTGGAGCTCCTGTAACACAGATGCATCCACTTAGCTCGGATGACATGAGTGGGATGAGGGCAGGCAAGGAAGGGAAAGTGAAAAGCTGGCTTAACCTAGAAACTGTAGTCTGTACTGATACTGGAGAACCTGGTGTCTTGTTCTGTAGCAGAGTGCACAACACAGGACACCATCCCAATCCTGACAGGCTTCAGTATAGTAAATATAATTGTGTGTTTAATGAGCTTTCATTTCACATTTTACAGTATTCATTTTGGTTTTAGGTGGAGCACATTTAAAGGTCCCTGCTGTGCTTTTGAAAAGTGCAAGTTGGCAGGGAGAAAAACGAGGGAGGAGAGATTTATAGTCATGGCTGCTCAGTGGGCTGGAAACTCATCATTTTTATTTTGTCATTATAAAATCAGTGATATCTGTGTGTCATGGCCTCAAGCTTGACCCTATGGATTTCTATGATAAAAATGAACACACTGAGATCATTAAGTGCGACAAGAACACCAGTGTATCATATTTATCTATTTAGACTGTAATAAAATGACAATATATGAGCATCTGACAGTGACCCTGTATGTAGGGTCTCAGTGATGAAACAGTATACTCAGTTCGCATTATTGCAGGCATGAAGGTGCATCTATCATATTTATCTATAAGTAATAAAGACTAACTGCATTACATAGCAAGTGATCACTTAAATTCCATTTTCATCCGGTTCACTACTTCCTCACTGACTCAGTGACCCAACAATCAATAGCTACATCCGTGCTAATAAAAAATTGTGCTCTGGAATGACCCACATCTTTACTGGAATAACATTTTTTCTTAGTTTTTCTCTACCATATGCATTCATGTCTTTCCTATCCAGTGAACAATTCCAGCTGCTTTTCCTTATTTATCTACCCAGTTCTCTTTTCAGATGTGATATTTATACTCACGGTTTAGCCAGAAGGTTGATAAGATAAATAATTACTTTCCCTCCGCTCTGGAGGGGGAATTTGGGGATGACACAGCTAAATAAAGCAGTAATTGATGCTATTAGAGTTGTAATGGAGTGTGAATCGAACAGAGAGAAGAGTTTGACAGTTTCCAAGGTCAAGTACCTCGCCAGCTCTTAATCACACAACAAATTTACTGCATTCTTACTCCTCCCACACATCCTCCGGCTTCCTTTTTTCATATCCGAAACTTTTGATTAGTGAAATACGCCTGGAGTACGCGTTGTTAAGGCTGGTCAGATTTGTAAGGGCAGAGGACCAGGGGCCTGTACTACAAAGCAGGATTAACTCTTATCCAGGTAATTTCAAGGTTAACCCTGTTTTTAAAAAAGGTGGTCCCTTCTTACCGGGATGTATCGCCTTGCTAACTTATCTTGCAAGCCTAACCTACTCAGGAGCAGATGAGGTTCCAGATTAGAGATCAGCAGGTGTGAAATCACTGCCTACTGACCAATCAATTCTCCAGAAAATGTCACCGTTCTTGAAAGATCCTCCAGTACTCTGAGCAAAAATAGTAGGAGAGTGTAAAATGTTAATGCATATACATTAGTATATGGTCATAAAACAGAGCATATATGAGAAATTTGCTTCTAGTCCAAACCTAAATTTGATTTCAGTTTTTATTTTCGGCTGTTAAACAACACCAGACCGGCAGCTGAAATAATAAAAACCAAATCTCTTTTTTAAACATGAACTTAATGAAATATTTGATTATAATCCATCAGATTATCCCATGTCGTAATGGTAGAGTTGTAAAATTTGATGAATCTGTCAACTTCCACGGTCAACATTTTTACTGGCTTTTCTCCTCGCCTTAAAATAGGCTAGACTTTATTAAATTAGTAGTTCTTTAGTCTCACTGATCGAATACTTATAAAGTTGATACTCAGCTATGTGCCACTGCTTATCCAGGTTACAGATGTTAAGGTAAGTTAACCCAGATAACGAAAGGATATGCTGGTTATGTTAAACTGGCTTTGTTACACAAGCCTCCATCCAAGGCAAACTACTTTGTTTGATGTTGCTGTCTCGCTATTTATGGTAGCAAGAAAGGGTTAGGACTTGGTCAGGAGTAGAGGGAGAGAAAGAGGAATGGGGGTAATACAAAATTTGCTCAGAGAGAGGGGAAAGTGATGTTACTGAGGTTGGAGTGAAAATGAGAGCTATAAAGATAATAAAAGAAATAAAAGCAGCAGAACAAAGGAATTGCGGTTGTCTTAAAGTCATGTTGTCGTGTGACTTTAAGACAACCGCAATTCCTTTGTGACAAGGTGTTGTCGTTATATATATATATA